GTGTAACTGACAGGTATTGAAGACCACCAACTATACTTGTATATAACTGTGGATCATCAAATTTTGGACCCTCAAATTTTGAAAGCTGACATATAGCAANCTCTTTACAGACTGCCAGTGAGGCTCCCTGGGTTGGTGCATAAACTTGCTTACACGGTGAACTATGAAGGCAATATCAGGCCGTGTAACTGACAGGTATTGAAGACCACCAACTATACTTGTCTATAACTGTGGATCATCAAATTTTGGACCCTCAAATTTTGAAAGCTGACATATAGCAAATATAGGGGTGATGCAGGGTTTGGATTTATCCATAGAGGACTTACGTAAGAGCTTAACAATATATTTTCTCTATGTGAGGACCATGCCACCAGCAGTTCATAGTGCATCCACACCAAGGAAGAAATAGAGCTCACCAAGTTATTTGATAGGAAACTCAGAACCGAGTAGGTGGATTATGTGCTGAATTTTCTTCAAATCTAATCCTGTAATTATTATGTCATCGACATAAATTAGGATCAAAATGCGAAGATGACCTTGCTGAAGAACATAAAGGAAATTATCTGATTTAGAGCCAACAAAGCCTAGTGACTGTAGTTTGTTTGTGAATCGTGAGAATCAAGCTCTTGGTGTTTGTCGTAGCCCATAAAGATTTTTGTGAAGTTGGCAAACATGATAAGGGTAATCTGGATGCACAAAGCTAGTCGGTTTACTCATATAAACTTCCTCTTGGAGCACACCATGTAAGAACGCATTTTAGATGTTGATTTGTTGAATTGACCAATTATGTGATAGTGAAATAGAAAGTACCAAATGAATAGCTCCAGGTTTAACAATTGACTAAATGTTTTTTTGAAATCAACCCCTTGCTACTGGTGATATCCTTTTGCTACTAACCGGGCTTTGTACCGGTCTATGCTACCATCTGCCTTTCTCTTTATTCTACAAACCCACTTACAACCTACTAGGTTTATGTTTGGTTTTGGTGGTTCAAGTGTCCAGGTACCATTTCTCAACAAGGCGTCAAACTCAATTTTCATGGCCTCACGCCCCTTGTGATCGTTTACTACATCTGTGAAGCATTTGATGTAGACACTGGATTTGCTGCTGCTAGTAGTGTTCAAGGCAGAGGATATTTTATAGTTCCATCAAACAGAACTCTTGGCTTGAACGAGTTGGTTTTTGATTTGGTGAGCATTTGATGTTGGATTGGTGCAGGAACAGGAGGAACAAGATTTGTAGATGATGCTGGAACATCAAAAGGTGCAAGAGTGGATTCAGCATTCCTTGCTAGAGACAGTTGACTATTTGATTGAAGTAGATTTGTACGTTGTTTAGAACCAAACTCAATAGTAGGAGAGGCAGTTGAAGTACATGTAGAAGGGATAGTATGACTCGGGGAAACCTGAGAAGGTTGCACGGTTAGAGGTAGAGCTATGGATTGAGTCACAGACTGAGATTGTGTTTTGTTCTGATTTTGATAAGGAAAAAGTGTTTCATTGAAAATGACATCTCGACACAAAGACTTTACTGGTTGACAAGTCAAGACATTTGTAGCCTTGATGACAAAGGCTATAACCGATAAAAACACAAGTTTAAGAACGAAAATCAATTTTATGTCTGTTAAAAGGTCTAAGATTTGGCCAATAGGCACATCCAAATATACGCATAAATTGATAATTTGGTTTCCTATTATAAACCATCTCAAACGGTGATTTTTGTTTGAGAATTTTTGTTGGTAACCTGTTTATAATATAGGTGGCAGAAAGGAATGCATCTTCCCAGTAGTGTTGAGGGATATTGGAATGTGCCAATAAGGACAACCCTATCTCTACTACTTGGTGTTGACTGCGTTCTACTACTCCCATCTGTTCATGGGTGGATGGACAAGCTAGTCGATAACCAATTCAATAATTTTTAAAGTAAGTGTTGAGCCTTTTGTATTCACCACCCCAATCTATTTGAATCGATTTTATTTTGGTATCAAATAGGCGTTCTAGATGAGATTGAAATTGAGTATATAAAGACTCAACTTCAAACTTTTGTTTAATTGGAAAAAGCCAAATGAACTTAGTAAAGTCATCAACAAAATAGACATAATATCGAGATCCATATGTAGAAATAGAAGCTGAAGGTCCCCATACATATGAATAAATTAACTCAAGGGGGCTTGAAGCGATAAACTGAGAAACTTTAAAAGGGAACTTGTGACTTTTTGCCAATTGAAAATTAGGGCAAACTGAACTTCTTTTATTCTCGCCAACTGGAATTTTATTTGCAAAAATAACTTGACGAACTAATGGATAAGAAGCATGACCTAGTCTGCAGTGCCAATTTGAGATGGAAGTGAGTACGCCTACAAAAATGAATGTTGGATTCTTTTGAACTGGTGGTGAAAAACAATATAAACCATCATGCAGATGGCCTTTATGCTGGATGCTCCCCGAGTAATCCTTTATACGAATGAAATTTTCATGAAACTCAAAGTAAACATGATTGTCAAAGGCAAATTTATGCACAAATAAGAGATTTTTTTGAATTTTAGGAATGACAAGAACTTGGTTAAGAATAAAGGAACGTGTTGGTATGGTGAGTTTGGAGGTACCAGAATAAGATATAGTCAAACCTGCCTCGTTTCCTACTTGAATTTAGTTTGAGTCGTTGTGCTCATCACTTCGAAAGTTGAGGTTGTTAAAATCAGAATTCCTGTGCTGTGTTGCTCCAGTGTCGGGATGCCAATCGCTTTTTAGATTCTGATTATTGGCAGCTACAATTTCCTATGCATTAGTTTTCTTGGAAGGGTGAAGGAAACTAATATCGAACCTATGACAACATTTGTGGATAGTGTGTCCTAATTTTTCACATAGTTGACACCAAAGCGAGGATCGGTTGGCACCATCAATGTCCCAAGTGTTATTGTTCTGGCAATTGTTGCAACAATATCCACCATGATTGTTGAATTGATTACGCCCTCGGCCTCGATAATTGTTAGAATTACCACTACCTTGACCATAAGAGGTATCTCCTTGTCATGTGGCATTATTAGCACTAGAACCAGCAATAGAGAGAGGCTGGTTATTGTGGAGAATTCGTGCTTCACTTGTTAATAAAAGAGAATAAACCTCTTCGAGAGTTACAAAATCATTACGGGCAAAGATAGTGGCAACCAGTGAATCATATTTTGGACCAAGTCAAGCCAATACATATGTGATGATATCATCATTCTTCATTGCTTGTCCAACAATAGCAAGCTCATCTGTGAGCTTTTTGATGTGCATAAAATACTCAGTGGTAGAGAGATTACCCCTATGGGTTGTGGCAAGTTGAGACCAAACCTAGACAGCTTTGGCACGGAATTGAGGAGCAAAGCAAGTGAAGAGAGAAATTCAAATATTGTGTGAAGTGGTGCACTGGTAAACCTGAGCCAGTACCTCATCAGTGAGAGAATCATTGATGGTGCTAAGGATGAGATTTTCTTGTTTCACCCACTGAGCATATGTGGGATTGGGGGAGGTTGTGTTGTTGTCGATAGTGATTTCTCAGGGGGGAGGTTTAATGGTTCCTTCTACATAACTGAAGACCTCTTGGCCTTTGAGATAAGGAAGCATTTGTGCCTTCCATACAGGGTAGTTATTTCTGTTCAATTTGGAGACATTGATGTTGGAAGAGGGATTGAAGATTGGAAATGTGGAGGTGACATTGTCAGAAGAGGTTGAAGAGTTAGGGGAAGACATTTTGGATGGTTGTCAAGGATAGGCTCTGATATCATGTAAAGTTATAGTAGAGTTTGAATTTGAACTCACTGTTTTTTTTCACAATTTTAATTTACACAATATGTACAATATGGCAATGAAAGTCTAACTGTTCTACAATATCTCAGCTGATAGAGTTTGAATAATTCTACAACTCAACATGATGGCTGGAGTTTATGAGGATCAAGTTCATCCTCCTGCTGTGTAGCAAAGTCAGTTAGACTCAAAATGTCTACTTCAATAGGGTGTTAGTGGAGGATGCTAACATGATGAAGAAAACAGAGTGATAAATACAACTTTTTAAACAAAATCAGAACTTTGCTTTGATACCATGAAAGAACTTGCAAAATCTATATATTTCCTCTCACATTCAATCTACACTTACTGATACATTTATAGAATGAAAAAATATAAAGATAAGTACAAAGCTTGGAAAGTTGGATTGTATTCTATCACAAATTTGGAGAATTAGAGAGAGAGAGAGAGGATGGAAATGGTTGATCCTCATCTTTATCTTTAATCTTTATATCTAATAGCGCACAAGCCTCATGAATCCAATTTTTCGAATAGGAGATGGTTTTTTTTTCAATACATAAAAATAGATATGCAAATAAGTCACTCCATATATGCGCTAGGGAGCATTGCCCTTCAATATTACATAGCTATCTGTAAGGAACCCCACTGCACCTATGTCGGGGCTGAAGCTAAGGTCCCACTGCGTGCTCTGAGCACAAAGAATAGGTTTAGCCCTAATGAGCTGTCGCAGTTATGAAGACTCGAACCCAAACATTGAACAAGAAAATTTAAGTTTTTATCCACTGAGCCAGCAACTTGTTGGCAATAGAAGAGGTTTAAAACACAATTAAGTTTACAATTGAATTTCATTTTATACAAGATGAATCATTTTCTAATGCAATTTTCATAAGATAAACTTCTATGTCGAATAGAATGCAAAACCTCATTTTTCTACTAATATCCTGTAAGGTTGATTTCTTCAAGTGAATTTTCAGATGTAATAAGATCTTTGGAAAAATAAATTCATGGAGCTAAATTAAAGATAGTACGAACAATCAAATTTACTAATCGGACAAGATGAAAAAAGCAATAAGTGGCTCATCTTTATTCATCAAAATAACATAGTTCTAAATTAGGATGCAATCTCAGAATTATAACATTCTTAAGACACAAGTAGATAGAATTTCATCAAAAGTAGTAAGGCAGTATTAGCACGCATCTAGAAGCTCATCCTCATTTAGCTTTCCAAGAGGACAGAGGAGGAGTATTTGCAAATCTCCAAGTCAAAGCCATGTGTGAAGAAGAATACCTTTCACCCTTCACCGCATCAACTATAGCAATAGATTCAAGCTTAGCCATTTCATCTGGTGTTAGTTTTATAGATAAAGCTCCGACATTCTGATTGAAGTTTTCGATCTTGGTGGTGCCGGGTATGGGAGAAACATCATCCCCTTGGCGATGGACCCAGGCCAATGCTAGCTGTGATATAGTACATCCCTTCCTAGTTGCTATTACATTAACTTGCTCGTATAAATTTTTGTTATGCTCGACATTCTCGGGTTGGAACCTTGGCATAGTCTACAAAAAATAGACACACAATTCAGCATAAGAACTATAATGGTGACTCATTATTTCAGTGAATCTTTTTTTAAGACAGAAGAAGAAACTTCATGAAACCACAAAGATCAATGCCCCTAAGATAATATTAATTAACCTCAAAATATTGTTGAAGAGAGGATTTTGTCAGATCCATTTACCTTTCTGAAGTCGTTTTCTAGCAATTTCTCAACCATCGGTGGACTTGATGTGAAGAAGCCATTTCCTAAAGGACTATAGGGAACGATTCCAATGCCAAGTTCTCTAAAAAGTTATAAGATTAATGAACTTAGAAACTTGAAATGCTCATCACTTCGTAAACAAACTAGTTAGCATTTGACACAAGCAAGATGTCTCACCTGCAAGTGGAAATGACCTCTTCCTCTGCATCTCTAGTCCATAAGGACCATTCCAGTTGTATAGCTGTTATTGGATGAACAACATGCGCCCTTCTGATTGTATTAGGTGAAGCTTCAGACAAACCAATATATTTTATTTTACCCTCTTCAACCAATTTCTTCAATGCTCCCATCTGGTAAAAGCATGGCACAAAAGAGATTAAGCAAAGTGTGACATGAGCTTTTTCGTCTCTTTTATTTTTTTTTTTGGGGGGGGGGGGACTAGAAAATCAAAGACAATAATGGAATCGTTAATTAGATTCTTCTAACAAATACGTAAAGACGAAATTGAATTTGTCGAACTAATGATAAAAATAAAGAGAAATCCAAGAAAAGTTTTGTTAATTAGATTTGGCAGTTGAGAAAAGCTAATAATCATGCAAATTTATTCCTTAACTATAGGAAAATTATACATAACCATACCATCAGGTCCTGCAAAATACAACATGACTTATATTCATTGTTAACATGATGCGTTATGGAACATCAGAGAGGCAAGATAAACCAACTGTGATTTCAATTGGTACACGAGTATCAATGCGATGAACGTAGTAGAGATCAATACAGTCGATATCAAGACGCTTCAAGCTAGCCTCGCAAGCCTCCCGCACGTAGGCCGGATCGCCACAAACCTCCATTTTACCACCTTCCAGTATCCTAGCCGCAAACTTGGTAGCCAGCTGCACTTTCTCTCTCATCCCTCCCTTCAAAGCCTGCACACATTTCAATTACTATTTCATTACAAAATTTGCAGTATACACATTGTATCTAAATGGATCGAACCCAAATTGGAGAAGATCATAAAACCCCATGATTCGGAAACTCTTCATTTGTCATAAATTGTTAATTAAACATCATTATTGATAATGATAATGTTGGCGGTTGCACATAGGGGTGTTCATGGGCCGGGTTACCCACAGGTCCCATTACTCGGCCCGAAAAAAATAGGGCCGAAGCCCGATAGGCCTGATAGTTGGCCCGCCCGAGCCCGAGCCCAATATTCTTTAAAAGAGGGCTTGGGTTTACCTCCAAACCCATTACCCGACCTAAAGTCCGGCCCAAGAGCCTGCTCGCAAGTCCAACCCACCCTTCCTTTGAAAATAAGTTATATTTTTAGACCATTAAATTTAAAACTTTGAAATAAGTCTTCCAATATCAAAATTTGAAGTTTTAAAAATTTAGATATTATAAATAATGTATTAATTTTTTTTCCATATATTAAGCATATAAGTTTTAAATGATAGAATAATACAAATAACTGATAAGTTAGCAAGTGTCAACCTAGTTGGGATTTATTCATTCTATTAGATGTAGTTCATTGTTTTATTTTTATCCATTTTGACTTTAATTTTGATTCAAAAATATAATTTACACAAATGTTAAGTTACAAACATATTCATTATTTTTAAATAAATATGTATATAAAAAAACCGCAAGTAAGCCCGCCTAGCAAGACCGCCCACGGGCCCACCCAATAGGCTCATGGGTTGGGCTTCGGGTAGCCTACTCCTACCCGAAGCTCGGCCCGGCCCGCCCGATTACTCACTTAGGTAAGGGCATGGGCTTACACTACTTAAGGCCCGGCCCGGCCTAGCCCATGGACACCCCTACTTGCACACAACATTCGTGTGCGTAATTATCTAAGAGTGATAGATATAAGAATGTAATAAAGATAGAAAGTATGAATGGTTGAAGGGTAATATAGATATAATCAGTGTAAAACCAGGTAAATTTAAACTTTTCTAAATAAGGGCAAAACGGTAATTTTGTCGCTATAGTATGGGTTGAGAACCTGAATTTTTCTAGATCTCGGATGATGAAACAGATCTCACCATTGGGTTCGTCTCACGAAATCTAGCTACCACGTCAAATTTCATCTAATTCTGAGACAGTAAAATTTTTCACATTTTTCGAGACGGTCGAGTCTCGTGTGACCCAAAAACAGGAGTTTTAATAAAATTTTAAAATTTGAGAAATAATTAAATGCAAATTAAAATAAAATTAATTTAAACTTGAACCGGAACGAAATTTAATCGTTTCGGGATGAAAACGGACCCGGAAACAAAAGGGTCGTGTGGCGCGTTGTGGGCCTAGTATTCTAAAGTATAAATAGGGAAAAAAATCAGATTTTCCCTCATTCTTCAGCCGTTCACCCGATAGAGAAGAGAAGAGAGGAAAAGGAGAGAAATTATTTACTTCTCTCTACGATCTAGGAAGCTATGAAGCTCGAATCCACTCGGGGGCAAGAACCAAAGTTGTTCTCCTAGCCAAGGGCTACACGACCACACTAAAAATGATGAGTTTCACCGAAAGTTGCAAAAAAATAAGATTTTGGGAAGGGTTGGATTAGAGCTCGATTTGAAGTCTTGGAGCTTTCCCAACGTGTTCCTCACGTTTCAAGAGGTAAGGTTCTNGAAGCTCGAATCCACTCGGGGGCAAGAACCAAAGTTGTTCTCCTAGCCAAGGGCTACGCGACCACACTAAAAATGATGAGTTTCACCGAAAGTTGCAAAAAAATAAGATTTTGGGAAGGGTTGGATTAGAGCACGATTTGAAGTCTTGGAGCTTTCCCAACGTGTTCCTCACGTTTCAAGAGGTAAGGTTCTTTCTTACTCGGATTTATTTTACAACTTAGGTATTATATGTAATGGATAGGTTGAGAAAGATATGTATCACTTGCCTATGGATATAGAATTGGTGAAATGGGTATTGAAATTGGGTAAGACGAATTTTACCTTAAAAGGCTTGTGAATTGATAAAATGTGATCCATTGAATTGATTGTTATGTGGGAATGTTATATGTACATTTTATGTCATGGGAGTTAAGTGTGTTGTTAGCATATTTTATGTTATAACATGCTTGTGAATTTTTGTTGAGAATGATATATATTGATATATAGCATTGAGAGAAAGTTTGGTGATTATATGTTTCAGATATAAATTGTCATGAGACTTGTTTTAATGTAGTTAATTTTGTTCATGTGGCGTTCATTACATGTGGGCATGATGTTAAATTAGCAATGATGCATTACATTGCATATGCATGTAGACATCGCATTTTATAGGTGTGGGTGTATAGTTAGCATCAAACACCATGTAGGTGGATGATGGGTGGGCTTGAGGAAGTTGGATTGAATATCCGGCTGAGTCGCACGGTTATATGGAAAAAGAAACTGGATCGGGGTAGTAAGAAAGGGTTAGACTATCCCTCGGGTGAGAGACCCGGTGTTTGGATACACACTTTCGTTGGTGTTAGAGCCTATAAAATGTGTTGGTGTACGCGGAACCGTTGGTGAAAGTCCATAAATTTCGTATCGATTGGGTGACCGTTGGTGTAAGTCCATAAATACCCACCACAAGAAAGACCCAGAGATTTTTAGTTAGCCATTGGGTGTGTAACACAAATGGCGGGGGCTTGGAGAGCCCGATTTTGATACTCTTTGCATAGCATGAGGTGAAGGTAAATAGCCGGAGCTAGAAAAACTCGATGTCAATATACATTGACATGACATGTGTTGTAGAGCTAGGAAGGCCTCGGGTAAATTGCATGACTGACCATCATCTCATCTCATGGCATGGTATGTTAGATTTCAATCTTGACTTGCTTAAGTGTTGATTGGAATGGGTTTTGGTTGTGTTTGGTTGCATAATACATTGCATATGCACTTAGGTTGGGGAGTAGCCCTTGTAGGAAATACTCTACTGGGCGTTGGCTCACCCTATACAGGAAACATTTCAGGTGCGGGATTCGTACTGGGAGAGGACTCGTATTAGAGGCCTCGAGGGTGAAGAAAAGCCGGTTTGTGGCTTTTGAAGACAAGTTTTTGTAAAACAATTGTAAAATTCTATTTTGAGCATGTAATTGTGTAAATAGGCTTGTAATCATAGGGAATTAATTGTAATAGAACTTGTATGGATCTTGTATAATGTAGAAAATAATTAATTTATATGTTTGGGATGGATTTGGAAAGGTTTTGAATGGATTGGAAATGAAAATTTGAAGAGGCATAAAATTTTGGGTAAAACCTTCCGGAAGGTCGCAATAACCTTCTGGAAGGTTAATGCAGACTTTTGGTCCAGCAGACAAAACCTTCCGGAAATTTAGTGTAAATTGAATTCCAAAAGACAAAATCTTCCAAAAGGTCTATTAAACCTTCCGGAAGAACTTTTCTAGTGAGTAAAACCTTCCGGAAGGTTTTCCAAAAATTTGAAATTTTAAGAATACATTGTCATACTTTTGGGCTATGTGTTCTTTAGTTTCAATGACTCAAATGGACCTTAAATGAGATACATTGAAGTATGTTGAACCTCAATGGGATTAAATGAATAAAGGAAACATGGATCTACGCATGAGTTGTAATTTCGATTACCGGGATGTGATAGATGTGATGTCGGGTTATGCGACAATTACGGGTATTGCCGCAAGTTGACGGGAGGTCAACGGAATCCCCGGTTTTAGGGCGTCACAATCAGGATACCAAACACTTTATCCTCCTTAATTAATAGTATAAATACATTCCGACAATGGGTAATTAATAGTACAAATACGATCCCACTGTGGGTAATTAATAAGAGCCAAGTTTTCTGTTCCCTGCGAGATGTGGTTTAATAGCTTCATATTTATAGCATGTTTGGTAGGAACGATGATAAAAGGGAGGGATAAAAAAGTGAGAGTAATAAATTTTTCATCTACGGAGTAAAGAAAGAGTATATATTTCCTTCCTTTTTATTTGGTAGGAAGAATAAATTTTTTTATTGATTTGTTTAATGTGAGGAAAAAATAATTGAAACATGTTATAAATCAAAATGCAAAAAAAGCCCTTGATTATTCAAAATTGGTATAGCATGAATTAAGTTCGTTGATTCAAATTTAACAAAATCAAATATATGACAACATTTTCTCATGTAAATTTATGATTAAAACTAAAAACAAAAAATAGAGCAACACAATCATGATGCAAATGATATGCAGGCCCGACCCTACCATAAGGCCAGCAAAGCCTGGGGTTTGGGCCCCAAGTAAAAAGAAGGCCCCAAAAATTTCAAATGTATAGTTAATCTAAGTCAAAAATAAAAACCTAGATCTTGAAGATTTTAGACCCCAAAATAACCTTATGAAACTCTAAACCCAATCAAAAATAAATTTGAATAGTTTGGGCCCATGAACCCAACCCATAAAATTTGAATAGTTTGATTTTTTATTATACTTAAAAATTTAAAATTAGTAGAACATAATAGTTTAAAATTAAAAGAAAGTTTTTTAAATTAAAATTGATAAAATCTTCATTAAGATTAATTATCATTAAAAAGATTAGATGGAAGAGATATTATCAATATAAAAATATATAGTAGCGAAACTTAAACATAAAAAATAGTAATATTTTTAATCTTTAAAAAAAGAATAATTTTAAATAAAAATTTATTAATATTAAAAATTGAAAACCATTTTTAATTATCACTTTAAATTTCAAATATTTTTGGGCCACCCTGACCAGATGCTTATATTCTTTCCCTCTCCCCTCCCCCTCCCCCCCCCAAAAAAAATCAAAACAAAAAAGGTTATAAAAGAGAGGGAGGAGAGGAACTTAAAAGGGAGAGAGGCAGAGAGAGAGAGGCGTGAGAAGGAAGCTGTAAAAGGAAGATTAAAAGAGTAAATTAGACATGTATAAGTCCAACTTTGTAATAACTTATGCAAGTGAGGTTTGAAATGAAACCCTTTTCCCCCTTTCTCGTCTTCTTCCTCCTCCTTCCAGAAATCCTTCTCAAATCTCCCCTCCCTTGATTTCTCTGCCTTTACTTCACTCTCACCTTCTCCTATGGACCCCACCCACCCAGATTTGCTCCCCACAATCTCAGATAAGGGTATTAAATTCCCTAACCCTTTACCCAAGATTACCCCACTCAAAGAGAAGGGCACCGACCCATCTACCACCAATGAATACCCTTCTCTACAAACCACGGTGGATCTAGGAAAGGAAATAGAAGAAGGTCAGTTGGTTACCGAAGATTTCGGCCAAAAAGATCCCCCTGGTCAAAATAACCGATCCCTTGTTTCCAACCCAAATGACTCTGTTTCTTCAAAGTTTAATCACCCTTTTGTTCCAAGTCAACCTAAACCACAAGACCAAAGTAACCCCAACCCAAGATTCACTTGGAGCCATATCGTGAAATCTGGNTTGCATAATTTCATTTTAAACGCTAAAATATTTTTGAAAATCTCTGTTGTTTTGAGTTGTTATCTGGGTTTATAATGGTTTTGACAATGGTTCACATAAATGCATTGATTCGAATAAAATTTTATTTTTTTGATTTATGGTATTTTTATTGATATTATTGTCANGGAAATGATCAAGGAGCTAAAGTTCAAACTCAGGTGATGAAACTCAAGTATTATGAGTCTAGAAGGGAAAAGGAAAGGGTGGTTGTTCAACCCCCTAAAGAGGNGGAAATGATCAAGGAGCTAAAGTTCAAACTCAGGTGATGAAACTCAAGTATTATGAGCCTAGAAGGGAAAAGGAAAGGGTGGTTGTTCAACCCCCTAAAGAGATAGGAGAAAAGGGTAGTCTAGAATGGCAACACTGGTTGGTTGGTTATTTCATCGAAATGAAGCTTCCCTACTCCTCTGTTAATTTCATTGCTCACAGAAATTGGGACAAGCTGTGGGTTCTTGAAGTTCTAGCATATGACAGGGGATTTTATTTCTTCAAGTTCATGAGCGAAGAAGCAAAAAATTCTGTGTTTGAAGCTGGGCCTTGGTTATTCTCTAGAAGACCCTTAATTTTGAAAAACTGGAATCCAGGGCTTACTCTCTTCAAAGAGGACCACTCCACTATCCCCCTATGGATTAAGCTTTTCAATGTTCCATTACAATTTTGGACATATGAGGGTTTAAGCCACATTTCCAGCGCGGTTAGGCGTCCTGTTCATGCCGACTCTCTTACTTCCTCCAAACGTAGGTTGAACTTTGCTAGAATTTGTGTGGAAATCAGTGCAAACTCTGAGCTCATTGATTCTTTCAACCTCGAAATGGAGATCAATGACAATATTGAAAAGGTTAAAATTTTCTGTTGAACACCAATGGAGGCCAAAAACTTGCCACTCGTGCAAAATATTTGGTCACTCTGACACCACTTGTCCCAAGATGGCTATCGCTACCACTACCGCTTGGAAACCTAAAAACCTCCCACAGAAGCCTGAAGATTCCAGAAGTGCGAAGGAGAAATCCATTATTTCCACAGTTGAGTTTGTTTCTCCTGAACTCCCTACAATTAGTGCTATTGCAGATGCCAATCCCATAACCTCTACACAAGCACAAGAGCAGCAAATCACTCAAAATCTCTTAGAGGTTTTGCCTCCATCCCAAAATGAACAAGATTCCCAGGTATACTCTATACTTGAATCTACTTTTATGCTTCCAGCACATCCCTCACTCTAATCTCCCAATAGTTGTTTGGACTATTCTCTTCACTAATGCATTTTGTTGGAAGTCTGGACAATCATCCTCACTTCCCCCAAAATTCTATAGTTTGGCTCTTAATAGGTGATTCCTATTGTTTGTAAGGGAATTCACCATGTTGTATCTTGTCCTTTTGTATCAATAGAATCATTTTATCTTCCAAAAAAAAAAAAGTCAAACTTTTTCACTTTTCTCTCGGTTTGGTCTGAATTTGGAGCGATTAAAATTAGGGTGCTGACCAAAGAAAGAAAAATGTATCTTTATTTCCTTTTTTCATCCATCTATCTTTCCCTCATACCAAGCAAGCTATGAGTGTGCTGTGCGGACTAGTTATGAACACCCATAGAACATCTAAAAACCGATTTCTGAAACATCGATTTTGTTGTCGATTGAAGCAAAATAGAGAAAAATACCTTGCCAACAAGGAGTTCGTTGGTGTGGGGACCGTATATATCGGAGGTGTCGAGGAAGGTGACGCCGGTGTTGATGGCGTGGTGGATGAGTTTGATCATTTCCTCTTCTGGCTTGGGAGAACCATGGTTAAAGGTCAATCCCATGCAGCCCAGTCCCTGTTTTGATACCTCAAAACCTTGTGAACCCAGTTTTATTCTAGGCACTGTGATTGCCATTTCCTTTCTTCGTTCAAGCTTCTTCAACTCTGTGTGTGTGTGTGTGTGTGCTGAGAATCTTGAGATAAGGCAAGAGTGGACTGATTCGCATTTGGAATGGTGAAGTGGTCTTTATAGAGGAACACAGCTTTTAAATTTATATTTGTTAATTTCTCTACTTTCTTTGACTTTTTACTTCCCACAGCCGTTCCCTCTACGCAAGCAATAAGCTAAAATACTCTTGAGCAATGTTCCCCACCGAAAAAGTATATTTAAAAAGTGCACTTAATAATCACGATTATTAATTTTAAGTTGATATTTTAAATTCAAATAATGTTTTCGAATCATTAAAACCGTAAGTCTCAATATTTATTGAAATTCATCACTTATTTAATAATTGTGCTTTATTAAATCAAAATGTTAAGTTAAATTTTTAAATAAAATGTGACTTGTGCCACGTTTCCTTTTTCCAGAAAATGCCATTTTTTTCTGACCAAACCAAAAAAAAAAAAAAAAAAAGTTCCATTTTTTAATAATATTGCATAATTTCATTTTAAACGCTAAAATATTTTTGAAAATCTCTGTTGTTTTGAGTTGTTATCTGGGTTTATAATGGTTTTGACAATGGTTCACATAAATGCATTGATTCGAATAAAATTTTATTTTTTTGATTTATGGTATTTTTATTGATATTATTGTCAATTAATTATTACTGTTATTAACTCAATTGAATTTTTTTAACTTAATGATTTTTTTAAAATTTTTTTTAATTTAATGGATTTTTTTTAACTAAATGAATTTTTTTAACTTAATGAATAAACTTGATCATTTTGATGTTTTTTTATCTAGATCATGCACACGTGCTTTGCACATGAATCATTTTAAATTATAATTTTTGTTTCAATTTTATTTTTGTAATTGTTTGAAACAATGATGTAAATATAACAGCCTATAAATACTTATGAATTAAACAATGTGGTAAACTTGCTACAATTTATACTGGAATGTTTTCTTAAAGAATATTAGTTTTTATTTCTTTTAGGATTAACTCCTACAGTTTTGAGTTATTATTTTCTTATAAACCTATCTCCTAAGATTTAGAAATTTTAACATGAAACTAATAATTTGCATGAATTATATTTGCAATATCATTGCAATGATACAAATATATTTCATGATATGATGTTATATATTTATATAACAACTAAACAAAAATACGAACACTTATTGAATTGTAAAAGAAAGTTAAGTTGTAGAAATGAAATAAGTAATTAAGTTGGTTGCAATAAATAGATCAATTTAATCATGAACATTCATAGTAGTCATCATCCAACAAACATTAGTAGTAATCATCATCCAACAAAAAAAAAAGTAAAAACAACGTTACTCTAGTGTTACGAATAAGAGGATGCATTGATACTAAAATTGTAAAATAGAAATGGATGAAAAGTAGGGGTTTGATAGTATTATTAAGGATACATCAAAATAAATTCTATAATAAATAAAGCTCAACGTGTCTTTATTCATAGTTTGATCATCAGCTAATAAAAATAAGTCTAATTCTTTTTAACAGTTAAACTTGCCCTTTAAAAGTTAGATTATAATCTTAAATATGTATACACTAATGAATTTGTATTAATATGAATTTCTTATTAATAAGGTTAGTATTGCATTTATACTTTATTTTAAGAGTAAATTAATCCAACAAAATTTGATGTTAATCAAGTTTTATTAAAAGAGTTTTACATTAAATATGGTTAATATTGTGATTATGTTTTCTTGTAGGGATAAAATAGTCAAAAAAAAAAAATTTTTTGATAGTGTACTTTTATTAGTAGTATAGATTTAACATTAATACGATAAAATAATTCTATAACCAAACAACGGATTGCACTAAATAACTATTATCTAATGTTTATGTTGTGTATGTCAAACACAAGATAAAATTACGCATTATTCTAATACACTATTTAATCTTGTATTTTATTCATCTGTATTGTATTAGTCTATATTAATTTATCTAATCCATTCATTTTTAATACGACAGTCAAACGAGCCCTAAAAATATTATAGTGTGCTCATCCTAACAACGTTATCATTGCTCTTCTGATAGGGAAATGCTATTTGGACTTTGTTTGGGTACCTTAAGATCCCCAAATAAGATCCCCAAATCGATTGTAAATTTCTGTGATCAATCATAATCTTTGGTTAAGCAATTATAATTTTTTTTAAATGTATAATTTTACTATAAACAATTATAATCAGTGATATAATATCAAAAAAAAAAAAAAAATTCATACCGTAGACTTTTCCTTTGTATTTAGGAGTACAGTAATCTTATCGACTTATCCAACCTTTTTAAGAAAAATAAAATCGACGTCTCGGTGATNCAAAAAAAAAAAAGTCAAACTTTTTCACTTTTCTCTCGGTTTGGTCTGAATTTGGAGCGATTAAAATTAGGGTGCTGACCAAAGAAAGAAAAATGTATCTTTATTTCCTTTTTTCATCCATCTATCTTTCCCTCATACCAAGCAAGCTATGAGTGTGCTGTGCGGACTAGTTATGAACACCCATAGAACATCTAAAAACCGATTTCTGAAACATCGATTTTGTTGTCGATTGAAGCAAAATAGAGAAAAATACCTTGCCAACAAGGAGTTCGTTGGTGTGGGGACCGTATATATCGGAGGTGTCGAGGAAGGTGACGCCGGTGTTGATGGCGTGGTGGATGAGTTTGATCATTTCCTCTTCTGGCTTGGGAGAACCATGGTTAAAGGTCAATCCCATGCAGCCCAGTCCCTGTTTTGATACCTCAAAACCTTGTGAACCCAGTTTTATTCTAGGCACTGTGATTGCCATTTCCTTTCTTCGTTCAAGCTTCTTCAACTCTGTGTGTGTGTGTGTGTGTGCTGAGAATCTTGAGATAAGGCAAGAGTGGACTGATTCGCATTTGGAATGGTGAAGTGGTCTTTATAGAGGAACACAGCTTTTAAATTTATATTTGTTAATTTCTCTACTTTCTTTGACTTTTTACTTCCCACAGCCGTTCCCTCTACGCAAGCAATAAGCTAAAATACTCTTGAGCAATGTTCCCCACCGAAAAAGTATATTTAAAAAGTGCACTTAATAATCACGATTATTAATTTTAAGTTGATATTTTAAATTCAAATAATGTTTTCGAATCATTAAAACCGTAAGTCTCAATATTTATTGAAATTCATCACTTATTTAATAATTGTGCTTTATTAAATCAAAATGTTAAGTTAAATTTTTAAATAAAATGTGACTTGTGCCACGTTTCCTTTTTCCAGAAAATGCCATTTTTTTCTGACCAAACCAAAAAAAAAAAAAAAAAAAGTTCCATTTTTTAATAATATTGCATAATTTCATTTTAAACGCTAAAATATTTTTGAAAATCTCTGTTGTTTTGAGTTGTTATCTGGGTTTATAATGGTTTTGACAATGGTTCACATAAATGCATTGATTCGAATAAAATTTTATTTTTTTGATTTATGGTATTTTTATTGATATTATTGTCAATTAATTATTACTGTTATTAACTCAATTGAATTTTTTTAACTTAATGATTTTTTTAAAATTTTTTTTAATTTAATGGATTTTTTTTAACTAAATGAATTTTTTTAACTTAATGAATAAACTTGATCATTTTGATGTTTTTTTATCTAGATCATGCACACGTGCTTTGCACATGAATCATTTTAAATTATAATTTTTGTTTCAATTTTATTTTTGTAATTGTTTGAAACAATGATGTAAATATAACAGCCTATAAATACTTATGAATTAAACAATGTGGTAAACTTGCTACAATTTATACTGGAATGTTTTCTTAAAGAATATTAGTTTTTATTTCTTTTAGGATTAACTCCTACAGTTTTGAGTTATTATTTTCTTATAAACCTATCTCCTAAGATTTAGAAATTTTAACATGAAACTAATAATTTGCATGAATTATATTTGCAATATCATTGCAATGATACAAATATATTTCATGATATGATGTTATATATTTATATAACAACTAAACAAAAATACGAACACTTATTGAATTGTAAAAGAAAGTTAAGTTGTAGAAATGAAATAAGTAATTAAGTTGGTTGCAATAAATAGATCAATTTAATCATGAACATTCATAGTAGTCATCATCCAACAAACATTAGTAGTAATCATCATCCAACAAAAAAAAAAGTAAAAACAACGTTACTCTAGTGTTACGAATAAGAGGATGCATTGATACTAAAATGGTAAAATAGAAAAGGATGAAAAGTTGGGGTTTGATAGTATTATTGAGGATACGTCAAAATAAATTCTATAATAAATAAAGCTCAACGTGTCTTTATTCATAGTTTGATCATCAGCTAATAAAAATAAGTCTAATTCTTTTTAACAGTTAAACTTGCCCTTTAAAAGTTAGATTATAATCTTAAATATGTATACACTAATGAATTTGTATTAATATGAATTTCTTATTAATAAGGTTAGTATTGCATTTATACTTTATTTTAAGAGTAAATTAATCCAACAAAATTTGATGTTAATCAAGTTTTATTAAAAGAGTTTTACATTAAATATGGTTAATATTGTGATTATGTTTTCTTGTAGGGATAAAATAGTCAAAAAAAAAAAATTTCTTGATAGTGTACTTTTATTAGTAGTATAGATTTAACATTAATACGATAAAATAATTCTATAACCAAACAACGGATTGCACTAAATAACTATTATCTAATGTTTATGTTGTGTATGTCAAACACAAGATAAAATTACGCATTATTCTAATACACTATTTAATCTTGTATTTTATTCATCTGTATTGTATTAGTCTATATTAATTTATCTAATCCATTCATTTTTAATACGACAGTCAAACGAGCCCTAAAAATATTATAGTGTGCTCATCCTAACAACGTTATCATTGCTCTTCTGATAGGAAAATGCTATTTGGACTTTATTTGGGTACCTTATTTAAGGACTTAATGATGTAATTTTAATGTAATTATTGGATTAGTTGTGAGTTTTAATGTTAAATGGAGCCCACAACAATTCATT